TCATTAATGGTACATTTATAATACTTGTATGTACAGTTGTCGGACATAATTTTGGGTTTTTACTTGAATAGAAATAGAAAAAGGCGCGATAAAAAGTACTCGCGTTATAATGCGCATTTTTTTCAGTTTTGATCGTTTCAGAAACGAGATGCGCGATATATGCGTAATAATATTGAAAGTACACTAGCATAAGTATGTATATATTAGTATACCTCAGTAAAATGCCGCATGTGATGCAAACCCCGTTTTTGAAGCGATCAAAACTGAAAAAGCACACATCGTACGTGGGTAGAATAGAATGTATTTGTATTTTATCAAGTTATTTATACTACAAACCATTTACAATTCTATATCTACTAACAGTTATTGTTAAGCTTAAATAAATACAATTAATACCTACACAATATTATTGACCTTTGAAAAGTATTAATTTAGTATATAACTTCGAATATTATTTTCACTTTCACTTACCCTCTGTGTCATAAAGTGAACTCTTATGTTCATGTAACGTGAGCAAATCGCCTTTATTAAATAGTATGCATGATTTATTTCATGTTCGAGAATATGATTATTCAAGCAACTAAAAATATTGCTCCCAATAAAATGTCTTATAACTCGCAATATTATGGCTTCAACAGATTTCTTGTTAAATATAGACATTTTATTTAAACGTATCAATTGTTCACAGACTAAACATATTTTTATAACATCATTTGAAGGATAAGTTAATCCTCCTTTTGATTTTTGGGTTATAAGGGAGAACAGAAAATGTTCCTTACTCCCCAATAACGCTTGGCAACACATTTCGCATTTAATTAATGCACACATTTTTTTGCTGACGAACCCTGCTATGTATTTCTTCAGAAATCGTGCTCAATATTGCCGACTTCATGATGTAGTCATGCTCTTTGAACAAATCATTTATTGCAATGTCGTTCACTTCTATTTCATTGCTCCAATTAATTGAAGCATTAATTATTTGTTCGTTGCTTCCTTGTGACGGGCAAGTTAAAATAGGGATTGTATCCAGAGGAATACAATTCCCTACCCCACTATCTCGCAACTCTGTTCTTATGAGCAAGCGTTTGTATGCGCTTTCAAACTGCCTTGAGGTGAGGTTGTTGTTCCATCCACCCCTTGATCTTATGGAAGAAAAAAATAATTCCAGATGGTCCTGGCTTATTTTATACAATGGAAAATATATTAATTTTTCCCGCATATGTTGTTATACAGTCAAAGCACTTTGTAGTGAAACGATTATTCCTAGAAATCCGGTTTTTCTATTTGAATTGATTAATAGTGTCCCATCAACTTTCAACTTCAGTCCTGAAATGTATTTTGTAGCTTCACGTACATAAGTTGAAATGTCTTCAATGTTTCTTTGGTGTAGAGGTTTTTTGAACCCAGGTGCCGCCAGGCTGCGACTGTTTAAAATGTCAAAAACGTTATTGATTATCCTAATAAAATTCGCCGTTGGTATACAAATTTGAAAACCTTCTATATTTGATTTCTTGCAGTACTCGAGAGCATCTATCTGCCACCGAGTTGCTGAGCAACTGCACCGCCAATCGGACCTTCATTTTTTCTTTAATAAAATTAATATGGCGCTTGCGAAGTTTATTCCCCAAATGTAAACCTTCACCGCTTTGCAACTGATGTAATTTCTCCACAAATTCCCAGGATATGATATGCCCATCAACATCAACAAAAATTTTTTTTTCTCCAAAAGAATTGCGAACTAATTTGACCATATGTGATGGGTCATAGAAAACATGTACTTTCTTATTTCCCAATGTAAAAAAAGATTTCATTACATTCGAACTAATTTGACAACCAAGCTGCTCAGCCATTGATACATTAGATGCAGCACCATCAAATGTAACTGAGACCCCACTTCTGTATTATTGTTGTTGATGAACTCAATAGTTCGACTCACTAGCTCTTTTTTTTGTGAAGCATTTAAAGAATTAGTTAAAAAAACCTATTGGTAATTTCCATTTGGCGTTAATAGCTACTGCCATGATTACAAAAGCTTCTTTGGCAAGCTGGTCAGATTCCTCTTCCAGTGCTGTCCCAAAATGTACATACCCATAATATTTTGTTCCACCCCATTCCAAGTGTTTGCGTATTAATATTTCATCAATCATCAAAGCTATATACATTTTTCTTCCCGATATGTCGGTTTGCTTGTGAATGGCGGTTATGGCTTCGGATGTAAATCTAGGGGAACAATTCACCGATTTATACCATTTTCCGATGGTGCTTGGATGGGGTAGACACGTATCAAATACTGTTCTGACATAATTGTACCCCTTTGGAGAAAGAAAATGCAGTCAGTGCAAATTTACTTAGTTGCGGTGAATATTTAGTTTTAGTGCCCTTCTTTCTCCTTAGAATCTCCATATTAAAATGTGATACGTATTGTAATAACTTATGGTCTTCACCATCAATTAAATTCTTATCCTTCAAATTTTTTAACAAAGCTGACAATGTCATAATTTTTCTCTTATATCTACGGTTTTTCTGTTTTAAAGTTTTTATGTTTAATGACGATTTTTTATTTTTAGTAATTTCTCGTTGTAATTTTTCAATTAATTTTTTCTTCCGTGATGTGAGCAGCTCTGTTGAACATTAGGGTTCTTGCTCCGCTGGTGAAGGTGTTCTGCGCCGTCTCCTTTTCAAATTCTGTAAACACATTTTCATTCTAATGTGGCACTAGAGTTAACACAGATAAGAATGCATTCATTCTTCCAATTGATTATAATGATTATAAAGAAATTTTAGTACATTTTTTATTTGTGAGCTAAATATAATAATCTGGAACTGATTCATGTTTCCACTGGCGATATATCGTATCATATATTTCAGGAATTGAATCGAGTACAGTGCTCAGAACCTCAATTTGTTGTAAAATGTCGGCTAATACAAATGAAAACATACTTGATATTTCAGTTTTACCTGCTTTGGTTGACATGATAAAGGAAGTTCCGGAAAAATTGTGGGGACAGCTTTCGCCAGCAAAAGCGGTCTAGAAGAAGTTCTAATAAAACATTTTTCTTCAAAATGTTTTGAACACAATCTGCTGTTTTTTGTTGGTGTGAACACTATGTTCATATTTTTCACCCATTCATTGCAAATATCCGTGTTTGTGGGAAACCTAAATTGAAAATTGTATTATAATTAACGTGTTCTAAAGTTACATTTCCCAACGTATCTGTAATCTATCATTAGGTTATACATTGTTTGCAGAGATGTAGTACGTAGGACCAGGTGATCTTACACCAACAAAGTAATTATTGAACTGTAATCTGTCTTGATTGATTCACCTCCTATCAGTTTGGTTATCACGAAGGAAAATAAAATACAACCTTAGTAAGTAAATAAATCATATATTGAAAACTGTATACAAATAAAATACACGTATGTTCCTTTCTGATTGAATCTTGAGAGCAAATGCAGCCGATGATTGCAGAATGGGAAATTATTCTAAACAAAATAGCGACCATAAAATGGAATAAATGAAGGAATACTCACAATTATACAAAAGCGTTCTTTGACGATAAAGCGATGCAGCAGTTTGGAAAACGAAGTCAAGATTTATGCGTTTTATACGAAAGTCCAGATTGACGAATGTTGCCTTGTACTTCAATGAGAGTTTGGTACCATAGCAAGGTGTTGGCGAAGACGACGAAGGCCATAGTATTCAATTGAGATGTCTTTCTCCCTCCCCTAAGAGGTTTAAGCACAATGATCTTTCATCAGCATATCTTGCCTTTATCAAATGTGGTTGCAATCGATGTGTATTGTTTCAAACGTCGGTCGATGATCACGATTTTTCTATCTGCCAGTGTGCACACATTAAATGTTAAGTGCAAAGAATAGGTAGAGGATGGGAAATTAGCGGTACATTCAATTTAAAGGAAATTTTATTTAAAGACAGGTAATTGTCGCTATTTGAACGCAACATACACTGTGGTTACATTACTCCATACAAAGTAATCCGTCGCCTGAAGGTTAGGCAAGTAAACATGCACCTGCAAGTTACGTCATAGCAAAGAGTACCGTTACTCTTTGGTCATAGAACAGAAAGCATGTAGATAGTCACGCCGCCACTGGAGAATCGCTTGTATATTATAGCACTTGCTAATGTAATCGAGAAATTATCATTGAAAAGAATTATAAAGCACTATTTCATTGATGCACAAAAATCTAGGACAATTGTACGATCAGAAAAATGAAAACCTTAGAAGTATTTTATTAGTTACCATGAAGATTTAATTAAATTTAGTCATACCAGACAACCTGCGTTTTTTATCTTACCTATGAAATGATATTCCTGCAGCACAACTAGCATTGCGATTTTTACATTTGTACGCAGAACAATTCACCATGTTTATTTCATTCAGTTTTGCACACACAAACTTTGTAAATAATAGAGAAATGTCAGTAAATACACACTGCCACCACGCTACGTGTGCCCCCGAAAATATGGCGGTCGTCTCTGAATATTTGTCAAATTCACGAAGGCCGTGAATACGGTATTACGGGCCCCCTCTCTTTCCTTGTCTAAGCTATAAATGCATATTGAAATTGATGTTTTCAAATTCAAACTTTTTTGGTTGTTTTCCACTTGGTCAAAGATATGAAAAAGTCGGTGCGTGAAGGATTTACAGCGCATTACAATAGAGTTGCTCTGGGTTTGTGCCTATCAAAAATGTCGATGAGGTTTTCGAAGAACTAAGCGAAGCAACACACTGGAACCAATATTACATTGGTTCGAAGAAAGCTACATTGGGCACCCTTAGGAAGGGGAAATCAAAGAGAGCCAACCTTTCCACCAGAATTATTGACAGGTTTCGAAAGAACATTAAATGGCGATGCAAGCTGCGCACAAGGCACCACAGGCGGAGATAGAAATGGTTCACCTAACCCTTTGGAGATTTGTTCAACTCCCTTAAAACGTTCAATGGACCAAGTGATCAAACATTGGAGGTGTATATTCGTGGTGACGCATCAGTTCCAAAAGGAAGAAAATATATACAAGTTGACATTAGAATACCAACTATTCTACGACACACAGATACACAATGAACTGCTCATAACTTCTTGAGGAACTAGATTAATGTGTAGACCAAAACGACGGGGCCATGATGACGGGATTCAAATGTAAAAAAAGTAAGGGAGAATTCGTTCCACAAAGCTTTATGTCCAGTGTTTACTTAGTCTTTACAGGGATACACTTGCGCTCTTTGCCTTGCTTTTCATTGTACCACCGCATTATATTGCCTGGAAATTGAGTTACTCCTTCAAAAATACATGTAATTGCGTGATTCCAGGCGTCCTTTATTTTATACATAGTCTTCCCACTATCGATTGGTGGTCTTGAGCATTCATCCACGGGTGGAGGGGTAGGACTCTGAAAACGACACCTTTTTGTACATAGTTGTCTAGTCATTCTCGAATACCAATTTCCGTAACTCCATTTCGGCTAAGCACGCCTTGCTGATATGTGTGATTTGCTTATGCGTATCTCCGTGTAGCATGTGGCACAAGTTTGTGTACACCTCCTCCGTTCTTTCAGAATCACCCCATATTCCGGCATCGTACGTCCAATAAACGACGCTACCGGCAATCAAACTTTTCATTAAGAAACCGCACATCGCCATAAAGCTTCTCGACGATGAAGTTTTAGGCGGACATTCGCACGGTTTCGGACGGCACATTTTCTTTACTTCCGATCCCGTGCAAATTTTAATCTTCTTGGTCGGAACTGTTGCTATTTCTGAAAGGTTACGCGTTAAAATGTGACAAATTTCTACAAGCCAAAGACTTGCTTGGTTTGCTGTAGTTTTCTTTCGGTAATGAAGCTTTGCGCTGTCTGTCGTAAACCAGCATCGTCGTCTTGGTGGAATTAGATTTTGCAAAATTGATTGCTTTTTTGTTACAAATCCTAGAGAAAGACATGTTGAAGTTATTCTAAAACGGGTACGGGCACAAAAATTTTGGCAGACAGAGTAAAATGCGAAACGTCATTGAAAAAAACATATGAACCCTGCTTCCTATTTGATATTTACGCGCACTTTTCCTTTAATTCCTCATTCTGCTTAGCGCGCAAGATAAAAGTCTGGGAAGTTCTGATGCACGTTGTGAAGACTGACCAAAGACTGATATTCCAATAAAAACTGCTGTACCTATGATCCTTGATTTCAAGCACTAAGATCGAATCCGGCTCTATTACTCAAGCAAAATTCCTGTTGGTCTTTCCCGTGGTTCTACGTGTCACGACCCCTCAAGAGGTAGGCTCGAGCCGGTGTAACATCCTGGTAGCGTGAAAGACTGGACAGGCTGAGAAAAACAGTGCGCACCTTGAGGCGTCACATTGAAAAGGCACCATCGGAGTCAAAGGCGTAAGTCCATTTTCATTTATTCAAAATTTTTCAGTTTAGTTTGGAGTTGAAGGTATTTGAGTTGACCCACTATCTGTTAGAAGTTCACAGGTTAACTGAGAACGGAGTCGAATCTCTCCTCTGGACTGCGGAGAAGTTTTGTGCCATCATCATAATAAAAGGTAAAGAGCTAGCTAGGTTTTTGTTTTGGTGTTTTGTGTACGGTCTTTCTGGCCTACGGATCAGTGCATAGTTGGCTGATGAGGTAAATCGACCGTGGAAAAAGCTTATCGCGTTGTTTTTAGAATTGATTAACGACCTTTCGAATCATCTAGGATTGGTAGTAAGAAAGACACTAACCAATAAAAAATTTAGATCTCGCCAATGTAGGCGTAAAAATTTACTCAGTAAATAAAGAGGGAATCATTCAGAGTTGGAAAAAATAGAAGATAGATTGAATCTGTCAGCGAGGAAAGATCGCAAGTCATTTCAGTTAATAAGGAAATTAAATTTTTGGTTTGAAAAATTGGAATTAGTTGTTTTAATTTCCGAATAATAGTTTTGGCCAACAAAAGCAGTTCAGCAACTAAATTTGTCGTGTAAAATTTGTCATCGAGTTATTAGCCGAAGGGATTACTGATGTTACGTGATAAACCGAAGAGGAAATTTAAAATTCTCAAGTGTAAAGTTGCAAATCTAAACAAAAGAAAGGCTTTCTTCGAATACGAACGTAAATGTGACACGTTTAATTAAATAGTACATAATAGTGACGAAATTATAACTAAAACTGTCGATATTTTCAACAATAAGTTCAATCTGTCCCATTGTTGGATACGTCATTATAATCGTGTATATGTGCAACTGCTTACTGAAGATCTTGTCCAATTATACTAAACAATAACAAAGTTCAGTAAACGTAGTTGCGTATACAGATCAATGCCTTAGTAGTAACTCTACTTACAAGCAAAAATAGGCACCGAAATCGAGCTAATTGTAATTAAGAAAAAATATTTTAAGTAATAACAATTATCAAAAGTATTCCATATTGACGGGTTTAAATGTTTAAAAGAAAGCAGGTGCAACATTCGTATCATCTCTATCATATCCATCCAGCTGTGCCTAGATGTTAAGAACAACTCATTCCATGAACGACATAAGGAGCACCCATATCCTAAGCCATGAGGTGGCTAAGCACACAAACACGAAAGCGGAGATCAAACAGATTTCCAAAACCATCGCAACGCACGTAGAAGTACTAAAACGCCCCCCCCCCCCCCCCTTATGATGAAAGCAGACGATCAAACAGAACCAACCGCTATGGTCCAGGAAAAAGACAATCCAACGCCAGCGGATATCCTAAATACCAACATTTGTTCAAGCGAGAAGGTCCACTACCACCTACAAATATCGGTAAACATGGGGCAAGCTAATGTTATCAAGCTACGGGGATAAGGAACAAGACTCTGTTAAGACCCTAAAGGAGAACGAGGTTTTATTACTGAAGGGATGGAGCAGAGCGATGACAAGCAGTCTAAAAGAGAAGGAGATCAAAAGTCCATAAGTGCGCCAAAGAAAAATGTGATCAGGTACTGTAGAAACGGCGCAGTGCACGAGAAGGTAAATAGAACCACTTCCTTCGTAAGAGCAACAGGAGAGAGGAGCAAAAAGCTCCTCTACGAGCAATTAGGTGTCTTAGCGGAGGACGCCAGTAGAGAGCCGGCCAAGGACGTCAGTGTAGAGCTACCCGAAGAATTGGAGGCGATTCTGTTTCCAAAGATGGTGGAGGCTGTGATTTTTTGTTGTCGACCTTCATGTTCCTCTTTCTGTCGTAAACCGTATCGAGTTACACTTCGTTTAATCAAACTGCGGAAACGTGGGACAGAACGCATGGAACTTTAATTGCAATCATCCATATATATTGATCTCTGATCGCCACTTCCTTCTGAAGAGGTTGGCCAATCAAGTACAGTGCCTGGTATAGAAGCAGATTACGAGTAGAGCGAGGCTTTTCAGGCATTAATCAATCAATTATCTACCGAGACTTGCGGCTTAGGAAGTTTTCTTTTCATTGATTTTAGGTTTTGGATGCGAGAACTGTGAACATCTAACTTTATTCCAAGGTAAAGGTTGCCGTATATGTTTACTTGTTCTTGGCCCTATACGTACGGATTTTTTTCTGGACATATCAATTAATTTGCAGAAAGTTGTTTTATGTTAGCGTGCTAATCGATCATTCTTGATTGGAGGAGTTGTGAGTAACCGTAGCTTATAATTTTGAATATTTGTGTGATACACTATCCGATTGTGGAGACGATTTCCACTTTTGATTTGATTTGTACTGTTCTTACTACCCTCGTATCTTCTCAATTTCATACGGGGATAGTTAATATAGAAATTAAGTGGTGCTCAACCCCAGTAAGTGCAACGGAGTTAAGATCATATGCCCAGAACGAACTACCGCTCAAATTCTTATTTTGTTTTCCACCCCTGAGCTAGTTGGCCGTTTAGGCAACGGGTTTAATTCTCCTTACAACTTCGCGACTAGATCATTTTATTGTAAACAGAAAATCCCTCGCAATCGTTACTTCCGTGTAACCTTAAAGCGTAAGCAAACAAATAAAAAGATTATGTATTGGAACTTGAAATTAAATCAATATATCCATCAGTTTTTCTCTTTCTGTCCCACTAATAATTCAGTAGGATTTATGCGTTGTGAGATGGTTGAATTATTTAGTATCCGCTTTTGAGTTGGATTTAAGGAATTGAGTGACGGATGGAATTGGCCCGAAACTCGTGGCGTTACGCACATTGGACTATTATTATTATTTAAGTATGACGCTAATTAATAATAATCCTTCACAGTACAATGTTAATATATCAAATTAACTTGCAAAATCAGCTACCTACTACATTCCAGATTCGTTAGTGATTGTGAACTATTTCACGGTGAATTCTGAATCGTTAATGAAAAAGTGTAAAAAGCAAGTGTTGTTGTTTCCATTTACCCAACCTGGAATTTCTCCAACTTAAAAAGTACATAGTTCCACGCCAACGCATATAAGTCCATCAATTTTAGCCATTTCAGTTAGTAAATACAAAAGCGTAACGAGATATAGCATCACGCACGTTGGGAGGCGACCACATAGGCTCAATCCCTACAAAAGTGATAAGGGAATGATAAGAGCAGCGACCGAGCTGTTCATAATACCGTCACTAACGCTATCATCTCACGCCATAAACTAGCTGACCGTAAAAATAGGGAGACATGATTTTTCTCTTTCCTCTCTTCCTAACAAATATTGTACAGTTGCGACCGTAAAATTTAAAACCGAGTAGGTACTCGCGGACAATTGCAGGTAAATACTTTATAATTGGATTAATAGTTATAAGATTTCGAATATCGTATGTACGAAGTTTTAATGAGAAAGTCCACACAGGCATCAATTTATGTTATAAGCCACCTTTCGATTTATTGTAATTGTAATGGAAAGATAGGAAGGAAATGCCTTAAACGTGTTGATGTGAAACTGGTTGAAATGTATTTAACCCTCATCAGGGTGACATGGGTCTTTACCGGCTACCGCAATAATTTCGAAATATTTTCCAGCACTTTGTGGTGAGATATTACCAATGGAATACGTATTCAAATTCTACTTATACTTTAGCCTAATGAGAAAACGCTTCATAGTGAAGGCTCAAATCCCCAATAAATTTATAATGTATGATATGGTATATTAATAATTTCAACGAAGATTAAAGTATGAACGCGAGATTTTAAACTAAAAAAGGTTTGTTGGTGCTTTAAGAAAAATGCCGCGTCACTGTTCGACCCTATTTAAAATTTGGAAGTTGTTCTTTTCCTGGCTAGAAAGTGGAAGCTACAGGAATGGCGAAATGGGAAAAATGTGCTGTTTGACACATCAACTAACAATTTAACAATTGCTAAATCAACAAGATCGTTATCCATAGGTCTATTCACGTTTTATAATACATTCAATTAAACAGTTCGAACATGAGATTCAACATCACCTTTATTTTCAACTTCAACTGCAATTTTCGATTGAGTTTCAGTTGCATCTCCATCATCTTAATGACAGTCCTAGTTTCAGCCTCCAAACTCAAACTTTGCAACTTCAGCATCCCAACTTGGATTTCTCATTTTCCACTTCTCAGCTTCAGCTCCTCGCCTTAAACTTCTCAACTCCAGCTTTTAAACTTCAGCATCTGGGCTTCAGCTTCTCAAATTAAATTCTCAATTTCAGCTAATAAAATTAATTTTCTAACCTTCAATTTCTTAGTTCTTATCCTCAAATTCTCAATTTCAGCTCTTCAACGCCAGATTCTTGCCTTCGGCGTCTCAACTCGACCCTCCTAACTTCCAACTTCTTTAACCTAGGATGTTTCACTGAACTTTTTAATGGCGTGATAGCGTTAGGTAGCCGCATCTTTGCGCTAGATAAGATAAAATTTGCCGACTTTGGGACTTGCGAGTAACTAAGAAAGCGGAAAATTAATCAATTCGCCTTGAGCCGTCATAGAGGTCAGTGCAAATTGTAAGTGGATTAGCAAATACTTTTTCTAAAAGATGCGATGTTATACCCCTTCAGATAGGCAAAACACCTTACAAGGAAAGCAATTTGAAAACATCGTTCT